TTTATGGGTCATAATAATAATTTTAAAATCCAAAATATGACCCGAGGATCTGACAGTTCAGTTCACTTTTTTTTTTTTTTTTTTTTAAAAAGTTTTATACAAACTATAATTAGGTTGAATTGAAGTATTTCTACAGCACAGCATTCAAATGCAAATGGTATAGATTCTTTTATATCATAAGCCCTGAAGTCCAACGTATCTCTCAACAATATGCAGGTGCCACCTCTTCGCTCTGTTCTACAGAACGTTGAGGCAACATTAAAACCATTTAGATGCAAATTACTTTGAGAACCTTTTTTTATAAATGTTTCAGTTAAACATATTATATCAATATTTCCTAGTTCATTTAGTGCTTGTTGAAATAGATCACATTTACTGAGAATACTCGCTATGTTTTGATGAACCAGGGTTATTCGTTTTCTAAATACGAAAAAACGTATTTTCTGTGTTAATCATATTTGACTTATCATGGGTTAAATTAGAGTCACAACGCTTAAAATAAAATGGGATGGTTTTTTGGGTTAAATTTTGTTTACGGCTGTATTTTTTTACATTATTCGGTTGTTTACTATTTTGCAAAATATATTTTATTTGTTTTGGTGCAAGGTATTTTTTAAAGTACGTAATAAAGTCCATTTCGAATCTAATTTTTAAACATAATTCATTTAAATATTGGTCTTTGTTTGTCAAAAAGTATTGAGAATGGAATTCTATGAAATTACAATTAGGGTAGGTTTTAGTCAACAACTTTATATTATAATTTAATAAATCTAAATTTAAATAAGAATTATATTGCACATTTATTATGAAAACCTTAAAATGTCTTAATTTGTACAGTGCAGTCCCTAACTCTGAAAACAATAAGTAGGGGTTTTTTGTCATTCATACCTAATGCTAAAATAACAATGTCATCTTTATTCAACTTATTTTCTAAATCACTACAACTACTCAAAATTTGCGAACATGAAGCTCCCGTTTTCACTATAGTCGTGAAGCAATATGAGTCGCTTTTTAAATGTTTTCTATTAATATGAATTTTTTGTGATAAATTTTGTATTTGTTCATCTCCCAATATTACTACTTTAGATACGTTACATTGAAGACCCGTAGCTCCATCTATTGAGTTGTCAGGGAGAGCATCTTGCGATCTTGTAGATTCAGTCGTGCGTCGTGTGTTTTTGTTGTGGTCTAATGAAGTGGTGAAAATATTTTTCGATGGCGATAAAGTATCCATGCTTTGTGTAGATTTGTAATTCTTATCTTTACTTTGTAAAAAATCGTGTGAATTTGCCAAATTACTGTGTTTATTGGGATATCTCTGCGGCGTATTAAACAACACTGATTTATACATATTCAGAGGAGATACTCTGGTTGTTAATAGTGTATTTATGTTAGTTATTTTGTGTCTAAGTGGCGTCATGGTGTTTATCTTCTTGCCTATATCACAGGTAAGCCTTTTCAAAGTGTCAATTTGCTTCTTTTGTCTTTCGTTAGTATTTTTTAGACAAGTATTTTCTGTATTCAAGTTTTCTATTTCTTGTTCTGCTTGTTCAAGTTTAATTTTGAGGTTATTGATTTCCTGTAAATACTCCTGGCTATTATAACTTGTGTTATGTTGTATTTCACTGTATGTGCTTAGCATAGTAGAATCGAGAATTGTTGAATTTAATGCATCTTGTGTGAGTATAGACAAATCTAAGTCTGAATTTGCTCTTGACAGTTTATGGCGTATTGTGATATTTTCCATATTTTATCTTTTTAACTATAAGATAAATAAATGCAACAGTTACTCTTGTTATTCAACTATTTATCTTGTTGTCGGTCTTTGACTTTTAGGATACACAAATACACAAATAATAAAAGTAGAACAGCTGTTTTAGGTACTCACTGGTCAGCTGATGTTTTGAATTGGGTAACGGTTGAATAATTCAGTACATATATTCCTCACTTAGCCATTTAGATTTAATAAATAGGCGTATTTATTCTAGATTAGGTTATTATTTAAATGTTTTGATGATTCTTTAACACATTTATAACGATATTCACTAGTAAAAAATCACTCTCAATATTTCCGTTATTTCGCAGTTATATTTTGGATAGATTTTATTACAAACACTCACAGACGTGCTATGTATTATAACAAATTATTTTCAATCATTTTCACTCGCAAATTGTAAGTATTACTATTTTTAAGATATTAAGATACACGATAAAGGTCAGTACTGTATGAGCGGTGGCGCCCTCTCCCGAAGGCGATAGTGTAGAATAATCGCTATCGTTCTTCCTTGCCCTACCATGCCACCGGTGCTTTCCAAACGCACAAAAGTCGCTTTAGTAGTCGGTGCAATACTTTTAACGGAGAATAAAAATAATAAGAGCGTCTGAACAAAGGAATGGCTGAAACAACGAACAAAATATATTCATTTAAAATTGCTGCAATGCATTCAGTCCTGTAAACCACCTGTTTCTCTTTAAACAGCAGGATAAATTCTTGCCAAAACTCTTTATGATCGCCGAACGACATGTACTTATACTCGTTTACTCGTTCGTGATACAAACAGCACAACTGCAGGCCAATTATGCTCGCTAATTGTGATATTGTTTTGATGTCAATTTCACATTACACATTATGCTCTCCGAAAAATGCGATATCAAAATGACATCAACTTGACATCAACTTTAAAATGATATCAACTTAAATGCGTATTACGTTCAAATTTTTGATATAAAATAGTATCGCATAAACGTCAAAAATGTGATACAGACTTAACAAGTTAGGAGGTGGTTTTTCTGTATCAAATTCCTTTATTTTTTAATAAAAAAGAGTAAAATGGCTCGTTTCGTGTTAGTAATGGACTATTTAGAACGTGCTCATGCCGAGGACATGCGTAGAAGAGATAAACCCCTTGTAGAAGAGATACAATTAGCTCTTTATGTTCACTAATTGTGATATTGTTTTGATGTCAATTTCACATTACGTATTATGCTCTCCGAAAAATGCGATATCAAAATGACATCAAATTAAGCGTATTATGATCAACTCTTTAAAATGATATTAACTTGATATCAACTTAAATGCGTATTATGTTCAACTTTTTGACTTAAAACACTATCGCATAAACGTCAATAAAGTGATTAGTACAGTCAATCTGTAGGTTGAGTGGTGAAAAAAAAACCTAAAGGATAAGGCTTGTTTTTTGTGTTGCCAAATGACGTCAGTAAGCCACCTTGGCGATGGGCATGTTCAACTCGTAGGCGTTTTTTGAAAAACTCAAAAAAACGGTCAAAAATTTTTTGAAACGCATTTTTCTTGTTTTGTATGCATTTTAGAAACTTTTTTTTGACCATAATTGTAGAGGGCGTTGAGTGCTACAATTTATGTCATTGTTGCAATCTCGTACAACTAAAAATGCGCATTGTAGGTGGCGCTAAAGTCTCAAAAAAGTGTTTTTTCACTTTTTCACCCTGAAAATATCATTTTAATGGAAAACTTTAAATGGCAAAGTTGTTTCGTACATAATTACCAACAACTTTTGTATAAACATTTTTTTTCTATTACTTACCGTTTTCAAGTTATAAATTGCGCAGGTATGAAAAATCCAATAGAGCGGTTTTGGGCAGTTCACGTACACATTTGCAGTGCACATTTCAATGTACGTTTTACTATTTTTTATTTTTTTTCATGATTGAAAAAAAAATAGTAAAAACGTACATTGAAATGTGCACTCCTGTTTCCATTAAAATGATATTTTCAGGGTGAAAAAGTTAAAAAACACTTTTTTGAGACTTTAGCCCCACCTGCAATGCGCATTTTTTGTTGTACGAGATTGTAACAATGACATAAATTGTAGCACTCAACGCCCTCTACAATTATGGTCAAAAAAAAAGTTTCTAAAATGCATACAAAACAAGAAAAATGTTTTTCAAAAAATTTTTGACGGTTTTTTTGAGTTTTTCAAAAAACGCCTACGAGTTGAACATGCCCATCGCCAAGGTGGCTTACTGACGTCATTTGGCAACAGAAAAAACAAGACTTACCCTTTAGGTTTTTTTTTCACTGAAACGATATTTTTTTCGACAGATTGACTGTACTAGATACAGAATTAACAAGTTCGTGGTGGTTCTGCGTGCACCACGGAGGAAAAACAAAGAGGAGCTGGCCTAAGCAACTGTGCACTGTGATTTTCAACTAGGTCCTGACGTCATCATTGTGGGCGGGGCCTAAGTCAGTATGCTTTCAGCGTTCGTCAGGTGCACACTTAACGAGACTCGCATTATAAGTGTTTTTTTGCGTTTTTAACAAGAAAAGGATGAAGTTTTGTGTTTTACTATGTCAAAGTTACTCAGACAGACGTTCTGATAATATGGATGGCATCACATTTCATTTGTAAGTAATTTTATACGTAATTAAATATATAAGTTCTAGAACATTCTCAGCCTCAGCTATCAGCGTTAAAATTCTACTACTTGACACCAGATGGCGACACTTTTAGGAAGAAAATATACAAGTTTACGTATAATTTTGCAGTAGTATATTGTAATAATCATACGTAAATACTGAAAACTGTTATACACTTATTCCTAAATAACTTTTAGTATCTAAAACAGTAATTTTATCAATATATTACTAACTGGCTGCCATCTGTCGTCATATAGAATAACTTTTTAAACGTTACAAATATCCAGGGCCGTAATACGTATTAAATTATTTTACCAAGTTAATAAATTTTAATTATTTTTATGTTCGTTTTAGATTTCCATCCAACGATAATTTAAAACAGCAATGGATTTCAAAACTTAATAGACCGGATTGGACACCATAGAAGAAGAAGATATTTCCATTTTAAATGAATCTTCTGTGCAAAAAATTAATATTACATCAGAACGTTATCGCATTTTAAATAAAATGAGTTTCGAGTCTTCGGATAGCACGGATGTCGAGCCTATGCCTGACGATATGTTATTGGAATTTGATGAACAATTAAATACAACTATAGGTGAATAGTAGCATATATTTCTGGGTATGTGGTCAAATATTTACATTCCAAGATTAAATGTGAGAGCTGTCTCAAAGAATTATATGCTGATAACTACGACGATAGTGACCTTGATTTGATAAAAACTAAAAATAAGGGTGGTCTTACTTTCCCATCTAGAGATGTCATAAAAATATGTATACGGACCGAAGGCAGTATTCGTTGTGTTAAATCGCAATCTTTGAATACTCCTAACTTTCGTAAACATAAAATTGTATCGAATACATTAAAATCACTTATTGGACAAGATTGTTTCAAAAAATCGGCCAACCATATGTTTGACCAATCACCTACACTTAATCATGTTGTATTTCTGATGAAATCGATTGCAGAAAAATATATTGATATTCGTTTTAAGCATTTTGCCACAATACAAAACGATAGGGCAACCAACCGACAACAACTAACCAAAACTATTATTTACAGGTAATTGATGTTTTTTAATAAAATTATGTTTGTAATAACATTTTGTCTATTATTTTTAAACTACCTTAAAATTAAAATCTAAAGAAAATATAACTAGAAAAATATCCATATAACTAGAAAAATATCCACGCGGACCAGGCAGCAGACGGGAGCGGGTGCGGGTTCGAGTCCCGTCTGCTGCCTGGTCTGCCTGGATTTTTTTTCATCAAGCAGTTACATGTTTTAAAATAATAAAAATTATACCTTAAAAATTTTAAAATCGGTCAAATTTGTTAACGTTTATTTTATTTATTTACCTACATATTTCATTTTTTTGAAGCTTCAAGTTCTGAGTACGTCCCATTATATACAAAACTTTTGAACATCTAGTGTTAGATAGCTGAACTACTACGTAGTAACATAAATATCAACCTAAGCTAGTTTTGCTATTAGCCGATAGATGAAATATTGAGAAGTGGGCGGAGCTGAACACCCCGCACCCCGCAAATTATCACGCGTCGTTTCTTGAGAAAATTTAATCACCACACCTCCTCTTTGTTTTTCCTCCGTGGCGTGCACGCACTACAAATGACTGACAAGTTCACCGATAAATCTCTGAAAGCACTTGTACGGACTTGTACGGCGCGGCTGGGGTGTGGCGCGGCGCTCGCGTCTCTTGACGGCGAGCGCCGCGCCGAGCCGCGAGCCGCGCTCACCAATACATTCACACGCGGATTTGTCCGCGGACTTGTCGCCAGCGACAAATCCGGCGGATGGGCGCGCTTGTGAATGGTAGCCTTAAGACTCATTTTGTAATTAAAAGTAAGAGATATTTTATATTTTATGAATTGAGTTTTTTTTATTTGAGTGGCTTTATTATTACATGATTATTAATTATTGAATGTGTATATTTTTTACGAACATTGTACGTTGAAGTTATACTTTCTTTATTCATAAGAAGTATGACAACCACTGTATATATGTGATGCGTGCGCTGCTTCAGATATGTGGTCCATGCACTCAATTTTTTATTCTTGGCTCCAAGTACAATTTGTACGTTGCTAGTATCTAGTACTAATTAAGGAAACTGAATGTAGGAAAAAATGGATTTGAGATAACGCCCAACAAACATTTAGGCGTCAATTAGAGCTTGTTTTAGAACTGACCGAGATATAAAGGCGCTACAGCAGCAGCACTTACAACTTTTGGCGACAAAAGAGCGTAAACAAACAAAATATTTCACGTAGAGCTATACCACAGAATTACAAGGGTGATAACAGGGTGAGTTTAAATGTTAAAGACATACAGCAGCATTTTTTAACTCTACAATATGGGCAAAGCATCTTGTGTCTATAGCTTTAAGTGAATCTTACAACTATAAGATCTAAATAAGAAGTGAGCATTGACTACAACCCCCCAAAGTGCTATGCAAGCGATAATAAACTCTCGCCAAGAACCAAAAGTTGCACAAAAGCAATAATTACCACTACCAGTTCCACAATGGTGCTCATAAATTCTTTTGTACCACCAAATGCCTAAAGAGGTACAAAATGCTCTTAAGTTACTAAAAGTCGAACAGCAGAAACATTCTTCGCTATGATAGAACTTCTAGTGGTTATTGTGACTTCTGTATAACTTTAGGTAGAGTAATAGAGCTTAATACCACTTCTGTACCCCTCATTCGTTTACTTGTTGTTGATAGTAATGCAATGGCGATGAATTGATTTGACTAAGGTTAGAAAAACATAAGAAAACACGGTTTAATTGAAGTATTTTGCTTTATTGTGTTCTAACACTACTAGCACAATACCTTAAACTAGAATAGGCAACGTTTTATTAGATTATTACAAAAGTTTTATGTTACTCCATATCTAATAAAATATTTCTTTTCAGTAAATAGACAACAGACATCGGGCGCTTGAATAATTTGTTAATAATACATATACTTATTCACAGTGTACTTATCTTCGCAGTAAAAAGTCAACTTCTGTGTCCACTAGGTTGAAACTATAAGATTACTTTTAATTTCATTTTCACAAACGAATGGCGGCGTTTTGGATGCGACAAATACATACGCAACTGTTCGCACATAAAAACGAGAGGTTAAATTATGTTGACGAAATAAAAAAATAGTCTTAGAAGTTAAAAAAGATACCACTTAGGGAGTTAGTATTCACCTATTTGCAGCCCTTTTAGCACCCAAAGGGTTAATAAACGATATTTTATTCTATTGTACCACTAAGGGAGTGAATTTTCACCTATTTATCACGTTTTTATCCCTTGTAGTTTCAGTTATCGCTATTATAGCTCTCTTATTGCTTTATTATACCTCTTAACCTATTCTGTAACTCTTATTTACCGCAATTAAACAACCTAAGGTGATAAAAAAAGTGTGCCCATTTCGGGGGTATAGTAGAGATATAGCGCGCTCTAACTCTGAATGGGTAACACTTATTTATAACTTTAGGATCTGGTTAGCTCTTTAATAGATTTACTATAACTCTTGTCTTAGCGCCTAAGTGTTAGTTGGGCGGGATTAAGGTGATATCAGAAAAACTGTTTGGTAGGTATTACATAAATAGAAGAATTGTATACATAACACGGTAAAGTATAATATTGTTAAGGGTAAGGAAGGATATTATACATTTAGATTAATCGCGATCATTAGAAGATAATAGAGTCATAATGCTGGTCGGCAATGGAATACGAAGCATTAGTAAGTCATTTCAAAAATCAACTCTGTCGAATTTTGGACAAGCTGAAAGCGGAAACATATTTGCTATGCGATTCAAGAAGCAAAGCAAGCAAACAAAAGAAGGAAATATTTCATAAGAAACGTAAGTATAGAAAATGAGTGCTGGAAAAGGAAAATATAAGAACTTTAGTTTTATTATAAATACAGGACAGGTAATAAAAAAGCCGTTTTTATTTTAAATAAAGTTGTCGTTTTAAAACCTACAATAATCGATATTTTATTTTATAGCCGAAAGCAGCAGTGATGATGATGACTACTCCAACGGTAGTGCAGAGATGAGCGGAATTAAAGAGCTAAATTCTGAATAATGTTTTTTCTCACCCAGTCTAAAAAACAAATTTTATTAAAAATCTTATATTTTTTCTCACTTAATATTTGTTAAAGAAAAAAGATTTTTACTCATTCTACTTATCTGGTTTGAATTGACAGCTATGACGTCACAATATGGCGCCCAGTCGGTCCTATTCTTAGTTGAATCGCATTGTACCTACGTGTCGTGACGCGCCAGAAGCATATCGCTTCCATACATTTATTTTGGCTAGAAATATACCTATGTGTAGGTCGTGCCGTGTCGTGACGCGTTTTGTCGTGGCGCCGACTGCTTGCCACCGATTGCGCCAGAGCGGTGGTGGGGGTTATGACGCGACACGTCACAACATGCAAATGTGATTCTATACTGCGTGGCCTGTGGCGCATCATCAAATGACGTGAACAACTAGCGAATGCGTGTTTCTGAAAATATATTGACGAGCTCATTGAGTTTGTACCTACTTAAGTTTTATATGACATGAAGTGTTAAAAATTACCTAAAGGTTTTTTTTTATCTATTTATTTCATATCAAAAATAACAATTACATAGCTAAAAGCACGCCATAAATCGCAAGGATTTGTCCGGTGTGCTATGTACAAATACGATTCAATATCATCATTAGCATATCACTAAGGTGGTTAGTTAGTTAGGTATCTTCAATTATTTTTATAAGTATCGTTGAGCAAGATGTGAATGATGACTTAGAAATGCTGCTTGGGAATATATTGCTGAAATATTAAAATATATGAATCCACTAATTTCTTTAATTTTTTGCCCCTAAAAAGTTGTATTGCTTATAAAAATTGAAGATTAAAGATCTAACAACAATAAAAAAGCAACACAACTTTTAATATCACTATCCAAATCAAAAGAAAATATGATACCTTCACTTATAAATGCTGCAAAGGTTTCACCGAAACGACAGTGAGCACCACGACACGTAAATATCTTTCCGCCTTAATATTACTTAAATGCTTTGTTCACTTAGAGCATAGAGGTATAAGAATAGAGTAGGGGAGATATAGACTCTACTGCTAGTGGAAGTGTCCCTCTAATCAAAAAAGAGAAAGAAGATGAGAGACCGCTAGCTTTCTCTCTCTAATCGCGCAACCGTAAGCATCTTACTATTTCGATGTGATGTCATTGGATGCCATGCGTCACAACAGAGATAGATAGCTGTCTACTAGACGGACACGTTTAGAGCCACCTTCCCTACTCTATTCTTATACCTTTGACTTAGAGTGGTATAATGACATAGAGCTTAAACCAGCTCTAAGGGCTTAGAGTATACATTAAACTATAGAGCGCCAGTATCGCTCTGACCCGTTATGCCCAGCGTAAGCAAAAGTTCTATAGATACTCAGTTAAAGTACAGCGCTTTCATAGTGTTGTTGCCCGTGCATGATGACATTTCTGCAAAAATATCGATAGTTTAATAAAGAATAAAAAAAAAAAATAATAATTTTTTGGGTTAGGTTTACTACGGAATTATGAATATTGGGTTGGCAAATAAAAAAATAAAGACCTGGTTCTTCAATTTTTGTGAAATATTCTTAGTTTTTTTTTATCTGATACATCAGATTATTTGAATAAAAAAAAACACGTGTGGCACTTGGGGACTGCCGCGGTAAAGCTATTGTGTCCTACGGCCTTATTCGGGGTCATTTAAACATAATTTTGAGTCTAGCATCTTGCGTTTTCGGTCATTCATCTCCATAGACAAGTAGGCTGAACATAACTCCTTTGCTCTATGAACGGTGGGTCACGTGACGATGACGTAATTTTCCCGCCACTCTCGTTTACCAGGTCGAGCTTTGCAGAAATTTGCACTCACAAGAAAAACGTTGCTAACGTTCGTAGTCAATTTATATATAACTAGTGAACAGTCGTTATGTCGGATAAAGTAGGCAGTGAATCTGAAACATCATCGGAATCGTCATCTTCCTCTGAATCTTCGAGATCATCGGAGGTGGAGCAGTTTCGCAAAAGAAAGAGAAGTAGCAAGAAGGGGAGGAATAAGCGTCGTCGGAAACAAGGCAAGGTATTAAAACACCTCGCCCAACAGGTCTGTGAACTAAGAAATTTTATTTACTACCCTCATAATAATTTTTACAATAATTTCAATGCTCCTACTCAAGATGATAATTTTGATGTGCAAGAATCACGTGAGCCAGAAAACACCGATTCGTTTAACTTGAGTTTGGCATCACAGCTGCGACAACCTTCGATGCCGGCTACTTCCGACGAACATTTGAATGTTATAAATTCATTACAATACTTTAACGATAAAAATTGGTATAATGTAAGATACAGTGATTATCAGAAACAATACAACGCTTCGCCTGGTTATACGGACCTCGAAGTAAATGACGAAATAAAACAATTTGATAAACCAAATTACTTGGTTGGGTCGGATAAGTTTTTAGGTGCCCTGACTCATGCTTTAGTTATGCAGAGTGATGCCATGACATTTGGTCTAAATAATATTATAGATTGGGCCAAAAATCAAGAAAATTTAAACGCAGATTTGCTAGGTGAAAAAATTAAAGAGGTTTTTTCAGGTGATTTTCAGAAGATTACACGTGACTGTGTTCAATTAGTATGTGGTCGTAGAGCAGACATAATTGGGCAGCGGCGAGAGAATATAATGCAAAATATAAAAGATAAATCTTTTCACCTTTGTTTAAAAAAGATACCCCCTTCGAATGAATTTTTATTTGACAAAGAAGAGTTTAGTAATTTTATTAAGAATAATGGGGGTGTCTCTAAAGTTTTCAATACACACAAACCATTTTTGACAACTAAATCTTCTAGGACTCAGGCAAACTTTCCTTGTTCTAGTATAACACAGCCGGCCAGTCGCGCCCCTGCACTGACGGCTTTTCGATTTCCGCCACCTCAGGGTGTGGGATCATATTATAATAACTACCCCCACAGTAAATATTCCCAAAAACTTTTTCGACCACACAAGTCGCAAACGGCAGGTCCCCGTTTTTCTCAGTCAAATGTGGCTCGGCGAAACGAGCCTCAAAACAATCTGCCACGAGGCAAGATCCCTGGCAAGCAACATAAACAATACTGACTCGAACAGTTTATTCCAGGGGGGTTGTTTACAAAATTATATAACGGAGTGGGAGAAAAGGGGGGCAACGCCCACCTTACTAAAAATTATAAAAGGTTATCGACTCCCTTTCCGGAAACCACCGCCCCTGGTGTTTCCAAACAGCAAGCAGAGATGCAACATCACACGTCCATCTCCAGAGATGGATGTGGTGATCCAAAATTTAATAAATCGCAAAATTCTAGAGTATGCTCCCTGGACTCCAAGCTTCATCTCAAATTATTTTCTAATTCCGAAAAACGACGGTACCTTGCGACCTATATTCAACCTAAAAGCGTTGAACAATTACCTAAAAATAACCAAATTTCGTTTGATTTCGGTAAATCGTATACCGGGGTTTTTGCAGACAGGAGATTGGATGATCAAAATCGACCTCCAACAAGCTTATCATCACGTGAATATTGCGCCAGCACATCGATGTTACTTACGCCTCATTTATCGAGGCCAGCTCCTGCAAATGACGTGTTTACCATTTGGTCTGGCGACAGCTCCAAAAGTTTTCGCTTCGCTGACAAATTGGACAGCGGAGGTGTTCAGGGAACTAGGGATTCGAGTAGTTGTTTTTCTGGACGATTATTTACTTGTGTTTCAGGACCGGGACGTGCTGATAAAGCACAGGAATATCGTAATACAGATTCTAGAACAATTGGGTTGGCAGGTCAACAAAGAAAAATCCATTTTAGAGCCAAGAAAGATTATAGAATATCTAGGTTTGATTTGGGATCCCTGGAACAACCGCAAGTTCTTGCCAGAGAACAAGATTACGAGTCTACGAAGGATGCTATCGGGATTTCTACAGCGGAAGAAGGCATCACTGCGGGAGGTTCAAAGCATCATCGGCGTTTTGAATTTCGCACGACTGGTTGTACCAACGGGTCGATTAAATTTTCGTCATCTCTTGGCTCACAGCAATTGTCTGTTGAAACTACCGGTTCAGGGTACTTACCCCTTGCCCACACAGGTTTTGGAAGAAATGCAGTGGTGGAAGGAGCATTGTGTGGAAAGAGCCAGACTTCACCCACCGTTAGCAAAGAGTTTTTTGGTTACAGATGCGGCAGATACCGGTTGGGGTGCGGAGCTGAATGGGATTCACCTGAGAGGAACCTGGTCAGAAGAAGAAGAGCGTTATCATTCGAATCACAAAGAAATGCTGGCCATTTTCAAATGTCTTACAGAATTCGCTCCCTCTCTGAATCGTACCTCACTTTTGATTCAATGCGACAACAAAGCTGTTGTGGCTTACCTCAGAAACGAAGGCGGGAACAAGTCCAAAATTCTTTTAGGACTTGTTTTCAAGATATTTCATGTGTTACAAAAACACGACATTCACATAAGCCCCTATCATATTCCAGGTCGTTACAACAACGTGTCGGACAGTCTATCACGTCAAAGGTCGATGATATCGGAATGGCACCTGCTTTCAGAAGGAACGAAGGTAGTATTTGCGAAGTGGGGGGTTCCACAAGTCGATCTATTTGCGTCCATCACGGCACACGTGGTGCCTCAATATGTGACATTGGATCAAAAAGA